ATACCAAGGTCCAGCTATCAAAGTATGGACGGTCAGCAATCAAAAGCCCCTTTGACCGCCCTAATTAACATGCCCAATCAGAACAAACCAACTCATCCTAACGTGGGGTTTCTCCTTTCCCCTTTATCACCTGTCACTTGCCTATGGGCCACATCTGTCTGCCTCCTCTCTATCCAGAGGCAGTCCTTTGTCCCTACCCCTCAGGAACAACTATCCCTGCCCTCTCTCCCTTGTTCCCTGCCCCTCTCCCTCATCCTCTGTCTCCTGTCTTTGTCTCTTATTCCCTGCCCTCTGTTTCTCTGCAGCAAACAAATCTCCTTTGTGCTGAGAACTTGTTCTTGGGGGTCCTGAACCCATATAGATCACTTCACTAGTAACGGCAGCTTCCTCCTCCCCAATGCTCACCACCCCAGACTGTTCAGCCACAGAGACCACTGAGGATTGAGGACACTCTCGTAACAGCAGAACCCACCTGACCTTTTCTGTTTGTGTGTCTGTACTTTTTTGATTCCTTCCATGGCTCTAGTCAAGGTTCCAGGACCCAAACTGCACAGGTGGTGGGCTGTAGATGGCCACTCCGCAACGGAGATGTCATCTACCATGAAGCTGTCACTAGAGGCAGCAGACCAGTGCGGTGCTCTTGGTTCTTTAGAAGATGAGCGGGAAAAACAACTTCTTTTCTTTATAAAGTACCCAGATTTGGGTATTTGGTTACAGCAGCACAAAGGCAATTATAATCAGGGACCATGAGCTCACACAGGAGTTTAAGCCACAATATGACAGATTAGTGATATTAAGAGGATGGAAACTCAGGCTGACTATGAAGTGTGGCCTATGCAAATCAATTATATTATGTCATTTGGGTGAAATTCACGTGACTGGAGGGAAAACAGGACACAGAAACAGAGATCGATCCATGTTTCCCTCATGAGATATCCCAGGAGGACCCTCACCATGCAATTCAGAACTGTGAAATCAATAAACCTCTTTGCTCTATAAAGTAGCCTGCCTCAGGTATTTCATTACAGAGACAAAGAGCTAACATGGATCATATATGCATAAGAAGTCTTGGAAGCAATCAACTAAGATAATATAAAATAAATATTTTTAGACATAAAGAAATGTTCTAGAAAAAAGGGAGGTGTATTGAAAAGTTAACGAGAGGGCTGGTGAGATGGCTCAGTGGTTAAGAGCACTGACTGCTCCTCTAAAGGTCATGAGTTCAAATCCCAGCAACCACATGGTGGCTCACAACCATCTATAATGGGATCTGATGCCCTCTTGTGGGTGTCTGAAGACAGCTACAGAATACTTACATATAATAAATAAATAAATAAAAGTTTTTTGAAAAGTTAACGAGACCCAGAAAAAATTGGTTGTTAAAAATTATTAGGTTGTAAAGGTAATAAATAATCCTTTGGGTACCTAAACAGAATGGAACAAGTCACACCAAGTGGAAAAAAACCATAGAGCAGCAACTACAAAGCCGTGTGTGTGTGTGTGTGTGTGTGTGTGTGTGTGTCTGTGTGTCTGTGTGTCTGTGTGTGTCTGTGTGTGTCTGTGTGTGTCTGTGTGTGTGTGTATGTGTGTGACTCAAGAACTTAATTTTCAGCCAAACTGTTGTTTGAGTATAAAAAAGCAAAGGAAAAATGTCTGAGGTTTGTGGGAAGTCTGGAAGTTGAACGACAGCATGTCATTGATGAAAGAGCTCAGTTTCTTCTTTATGGTGACCTGAAGTCTTAGTCTAAGGCCCTTCCCTAGATCTCTGGTGCTTGACAGTATGAGTAAGTGCTGGGCCCCAGGTCCAAGGCTGTAGAAGAGTTCTTTTCTAAATGCTACAAAGTTGAGGGGAAAGCTTCCCTGAGGGGTGAGCTGGCTCAAGACAGAGAGAAAAGAGATGGGAAGAGGATGGCCAAGCCAGGCCATCATACAAATGGAGAGAAGAAGTGTCAGATAGATGCTTTTTTAAATGTATATAAAATCCCTCTGTGTGTGTGTGTGTGTGTGTGTGTGTGTGTGTGTGTGTGTGTATTGTGTATGGGCCTTGTGCTGTTTGTATTTTGATGCTAATTCTGCTCTCCTGGGAGGGGCTGCAAATGAGGAATGAGTCACATACTCAGGTGACTTCTTGTGAACCATCCCCTAATGAATAAAGGAGTCAATCACTGGAGGAGTAGGCAGGACTTCCAGGTTGGACCAGGGAAGAGAGGAAGCAGGAGGGAAGAGAGGGTCCTTTTCTGATGGGACAGCGATAGGACAAGATGTAGCTACTAGTATCTCCCGGTTTATGGCAAATCTGCCAGGATTCGCCACCAGAGGACTTAGGCTTAATATAGATATAAGATTAGGATTCTAGCTGTTGCACCCAGAGATTAGTTACCACTGTTTCTGAACTAAGTTTGTGTAGTGTTTTTCTTCTCGCTGTGACTCAACTCGACTGATAGGGAACTTAACAAGCTGGATGGTGAGATTTTGGAGCTCTGGTGCCATGTGGCATGTGGTAGCGTGGGGACTGCCGTTCTTTTTTAATATTTCCTGCAACGTGTGTGTGTGTGTGTGTGTGTGTTTGTGTGTTTATACACATTGGAAGCCAGAGATTAACCTCAGGCACTGTTCTTCTGAAGTCATGCAGCTTGTCTCTGGAGTCAGGGTCTCTCACTGGGACTGGAGCTCCCTGATTAGGCTTAGCCACTGTGGTGCAAGCCCTAAGGACCATCCTGACTCTGCCTCCCCTGTATCAGGATTACATGTGTGCACCACCAGGCCCCAGCTTTTTCTGTAGGGCTGAGGATAATAGTGACAGCCAGCGCTATCCTGACTGAGCAAGGTCTTCTGTGCCTGCCTCACTGATAGCAGAAAATTCCAATGACTCAACAGCCATTCTTCCTAATGTTTTACAGACGGAAGAGGAGGCTATGGGGGGCTGACAGGGTCCATGGGCAACACAGAGCCATTGTTACCTGACTTATGGGATGACCCTGTCAGCCATCTACGGAGAGGTGACAGGCACTGGGGAAGGGGAAGCAGAAACACAGTGGGCATGCATCAGTTCTTTCAGACTCACTATTGCAGAAGTCCCAAGGGACACCCACTTGGTGGCAGTTCTATGGAGAGACAGCCATTCTGGCTAATGCTCAGCTCTCCAAAGGTACCAGAGTCTCCATCCAGCCTTGGGTCTTTTTCAAATTTGTCCCCTAGCCCAGAATGTTCTCAGCTCTTCTCAGTGTGGTACCTCCTTATCTTCCAGCTGTGATTTTCTTTCAAATTCTCATTTATTTCTTATTTATTTTGTCTCTTTAAGTAATCCTGGCTGTCCTAGAACTCACTGTGTAGACCAGGCTAGCCTCTAAATCAGAGACATGGCCTGCCTCTGCCTCTCCAGTGCCAGGATAAGGTGCACCACCACACCCGACCTTTATCCTTCTCGTACAGTTTCCTTTCCCAAGTGTTCTTATGACTGTCTTCCCAGAGTGTCCAAGGCTTTGTTGCCAAGCTGAAGACCCACCTCACCTAGAGTGTATACGCTGTAGACGCTTCCATGTCTAATGCGTGTGGGAACTACCCATCCCACCAGACCTCTGCAGACATACATGAAACGGAGTTGGAGATATAGCTCATTCTGTAGACTGCTTACCTAACTTCCATGACATCTTGAGTACAACCCCTAGAACCGCATAAGCTGCTAAGCTCAGAAGCTCAAGGCCACCCTTGGCTATGTGGGGAGTTAGAGACCAGCCTGGGCTACAGAAGACCCTTTGTAAGAGAGAGAGGGGGGGGAAGGAGGGAGGGAGGGAGGGAGGGAGGGAGGGAGGGAGGGAGGGAGGAAGGAAGGAAAGAAATGAAACAAGACACTTGGAGGACTGTACACTTCATTCATCTCTCAGAGTCCACACCTATCTAGTCATCGTTCCTTCACACTGCCCATGTACCACCCTGTGCTTAACATGGGGTGCACACTGTGCACAGGGTAGGAACCTGGTCCAAGAGTAAATGGGGGCACAGCCCCAGCCCTGCCATTTGCCAAATTGTGGATGCAAAGCCACCTGTGTCCTCCGGGGACCAGCAGGAACCCTGCCCCAAAATGAACTCAACTCACACAGTTCCTGCCACATGCAGCCCAGTGGAGACAGTGAAGTCTACCCTTAGAAGTCTTCCTTATTTGCTGGTGATGACAGTAGGTTTCTGAGACACTAAGAAAATAAACACATGACAGGATTTGCAGCTTGAGCCACATCCTAAAGAGTGGCAAGCAATGGCTCCCATCTCAGCCTCAGCCCATCGTGACCCCTTTGGTGACAAATTCAGGTCCCTCTGATCTAGAACAGCATCCCAGAAAGTCCCTCCTCTTGACCTTGCCAACTCCTTTTAGCTGAACTCAACCTTCCTCTCTCTTTTGCTCTGAAACCTTGGGCAGACCCACATGCTGCCTTCACAGTGGCCTCAGTGAAACGGATCCCAAAGTGTGTGCTTCCTGTCTTAGGTCCCTGCAGGGCTGAGCTGGAGTCACCCGAGCAAGAGCTCCTGTGCTATACCCAAGATTCCATTCACAGCAGCAACTAAAACTGTCACATAGCCAAGAACATGCTGATAGAAACAGAATTATACAACTTTACTGAAAGGCATAAAGAGAGGTCCTAGTCAATGAGGAGGTCTCCACCTGGGGGAAGGTTCGGGGCCATAAAAATGTCACTTCTCCCCAAGGCAATCCATAAACTTGATGTAACTGCAGTAAAAATATCAAAGGGACTTTTTAATAGAATGTGACAAGCTGATTCTCAAGTTAATCTGGAAGAGGGAAAAAAATACAAAGCTGATTGCACAAGAATAAAACATACTGGAAAAAACTACAGTATTCTGCTATAGGAAAATGCACACAACATTCACCAGCTTAACTGTTTCAATTGTATGATTTGGTGGCCTTCAGCACATTCAAGACGCCTTACAGCCATCAGCGCCATCTTCTCTAGAACCAAACGGAAACTTTGTTTCTTAAGCACTGACTCCCATTCCACACTCCTCCTGCAAGAAAAGAAAAAAATTGCTTTATATTTGCATGTCTGATGTATGTGCGCATATGTTTGTATGCACTCTTGTGTGTGAGTGCACACACGAGGTGGTTGGAGGATGACCTACCTTGTTTGTCTGTTGTTGCCAAGGAGCTGTGCACACCAGTTATTCGCCCTTGAGTTTCCAAGGATTCTCCTCCCCTCTCCATCCTGTTGTAGCATTATAGATGGTCTGCTGATGGGTTTGCTACGTAGCCCAGACTGGCCTCAGACTCACAGTGTAGCCCTTAGTATATAATCCTGACTCAAACAAAGTCTTCAGCAATCTCCTACCCCAGCCTCCAGAGTGCTAGGATTACAGGCATATGCCACCAGGACCAGCAAAGAAAAAAACTGAGTGAAGCCCTCAGGAGGCAGAGGCAGGGGGATCCCTGTGAGTCCCAGATCATCCTGGTCTACATAGCGAATTCCTAGTCATCCAAGGTTATTTAGAAAGACCATGTCTCAAAAAAACCTTTTTCCCTCGTTTTCATGAGGGAATCAGGGATGGAGAGATGGGCCAGTGGGTGAGCGTGCTCACTGTACAAACACAAAGATAAGAGTTTGAATCTCAAGCACAAGAAATGGGATTGACCACATGTGACTGTAGCCCCAGTGGCTGTGAGTGTCAGAGACAGGAGGATAGCTGAGAGTGGCTAGCTAGCCTTGCTGGAAATTAAAAAAAAAAAAAAAAAAAAGTGAGCTTTAGTCTCAGTGAGAGAATATGTCCAGGAAATAAAAAATACAAGGCAGAGGGGATTATAGAGGACATTTGACCTCCTCTGGCCTCCAAACACACACACACACACACACACACACACCACACACACACACACACACACACACACACACGGGAAAATGAGGGACTGATCAAGCCAAAAATAAAAATATCTTATAAAACAAGACGAATTCCATAAACCCATCTATGTACTGGAAGGAAAGGATTCTGACCCCTGGATGGAGATATTATTTAATAAATACAATTACAAAAGTACAAAATTTGAACTCTACCTCGGGTGCGCTCAACACTCATACAAAGTCTCTTTGATTTTAAGAACTAAATGTAAAAAGCAAACCCCAGAACAGCACTAGAAGAAAAATAAGAAAAACATCTAGATTTGACTAAAAAACGTTAACTTGCAAGTGACAGAAGACTCTGTGACTAAAGTTAAAAGATGACAAACACACAAGAAACACAAGCGCACCGCAGACATCCGGGAACGCCACGAGAACATAACTTGAAATAATAATAATTTGGCTTTCATTTTCCCCGCGTCCTCGCGTCAATCAGAGGCTCCACTTTACCTCAAGGAGAATTAGCGCTTCACAGCAAGAAGATAAAGAGAGAGAGACAGCCAACGTTCCCTCTCATTGTCTCAGGAACTTCGCAGCCAGTCCACTGAAGCCCACATCAGAAATCACGCTTTAGAAGAGCCGAGCCTTTGATTCGAAAGGACTGCTCTGGCAGAGGGAAGAAAATGTTCTTGAAAATCAAAAGGGAAGGTCCTGGGGAAAGCTGGAGATAAATGCACGCCTTAACTAGATATCGAACAGGACTTGAGAAGACCCGGGCTGTGTGCCCCTGGGGAAGTGCGCCGGGCACTGGGCAGGCAAGTGGGAGTGAGCCGTGACCTTGGCAGAGGTCACAGGATGTGGGAGGAAGAAATAGTTGTTGCTGGACTTCAAAGTGGGGCTGTCAGTGCTTACAGGTCACTAACCTCCCCCCCCCCCACCCCTCCTGCCACAAGCATCTGGAACTTCTAGGATCCGGGCCATCCACCTCCCATGCCAGCTGATCCTCTGGGTAGCTACTCAAGCTCTGCAACAGGTCACCTTGGCTGGAGGGCGACAGTAACCACACAGCTCTTCACTATCTGCTGAGAACCTCCATCGATGGCTGCCTGGGGTGCTCAGCTGAAGAGATACCCACCCAACCACCCGCCCACTCACCCACCCATGGTTCCTGCTTTTCCGAGGAGCCCTGTCGGCATATGAGTACTCTCCCCACTTACCAGAGAGCAGGATTGTTGACGTCCACAGGAGAAGCCATAGTATGGAAGTTATCTCCCTGCAACCTGTCCCTGGGTAGAAGAGGGTAGATCGTGGTAAAATAAATAAATAAATAAATAAATAAATAAATAAATAAATAAATAAATAAATAAATAAATCTACCCCGGCTAAATAGTTCTACAATGCAGAAAAGGCCCCAATGAAAAGATCCTCAACCCAATAGAAAAAATGAACAAAAGATACAAAAGGAAAACTTGATATTAAAGGAACATACTAGGTAGTCACGCCAGGAATCCTAGCACTTGGGGGGCTAAGGCAGGATTGCAAGTTTGAGGCTGACTGCAGGCTACCTCTGGAGACCCCGCCTCAAAACCCCACAATAGGGGCTAATGATGCAGCTCGGCAGATGAAATCTGCAGACCCAGCCCACCGCGGCAGACATGATGATGTAGAAGGAGGGAAGAGAGGAACTGCCTGGTGTGAGCAGCCTGCCCTGCTCCCCGAGGCCATGGTGAGGTCCCTGCCTGTGCTCCCGCTGAGGGCCATGTCTGAGTCCATGGTCATGCAGCAGACGCGTTTGTGTCAATGTTCGTAGCTCATATTACCAGCAAAGTCCAAGCAGATATCCCGAGTCTGGGCTGCTACCTGAAACCATGTTATTAATGGTCAAGGGTTGTGCAGAGTTGGTCCCGTCCCTCACTGCGGCAATCAAGAGAGTGGGCCCTGCACCTTCCCCGGGTAGCACAATAGAGCTGGCCGTGGAGAGGGGTGAGGAGAGACAAGTGAGGGGCTCATGGGTGTGTGTGGGAGGGGTGGCCACACCCCTCGTCTGCCAAGAGATAGGGTGGCCACAGGAGAGATGCCCTTCCCCCCCATCCCATGAAGCCTGCCTAGGCCAGAGAGCTTGACCTAGGTCGGCAGAGCAGGAGAACTGGCCTCACCCCTCAACAGCTGCTGCACTTGAGAGAGCAGGCCCTGCATCTCGCCTGGGTAACACACTAGAACTGGCCCTGGTGGCGTGGGGGGTGGGTGAACCAGCCCAAGGAGGTGAGAGCAGGAGAGCTGGCTCCGCCCCTTGCTGTCTGTGGCATTGGTTGAGCTAGCCAAGGCAGTGCTGGAAAGCTCACCCCTGTGGTGTGGGTACAGGAGAGCTGGTGGGCTGACCTCAGCTGACACCCAGGCCCAGATCCGGGGCTTTGAGTTGGGCCATTCCTAATCTATCTATGAACTAACTGCTAGAGCTCTAAAAGGGCCAGTCCTGCAGATTTAAAGCAGCAGGATCTCCATGGCACAGGGCAACAACAGGATGTCCAGAAGGAGTTCAGGTGCGCATCCAGTGCTGACAGTGCAGCAGAAGGCAGGGGCCTCGAACCAGACCGATGACTCACTGCAATGAACATTTGCAAGTAAAAAAGTGTGGACAAAAGGCTGTGCTGTGGGACACACTACAGCTTCCATGATAAGATGTTTTTGTTCTGTTTGTTTTTTAAGTTTATCTGAGGGGAGGCGTTACAAGGGTGGAGGGCAGACACAAAGAGATAAGGGAATGAGTGGGTTTGGAGTGAGTGATGTAGAATTAACAAAGAGTGGATACAAAGTTTTAAAAAATAAAACTTTAGAGGGTTCATTGGTGAGGCCTTTATAAAGGTTGGTTAGGCAGTTCTGTTGACCGTAAATAGGCTGTAAATATGTCTGCCTCTAACCTGGACGATCCCACATCTACCAACAAACAAGTCCAGCTGAAGATGGCTGAGGTGGCCCACGGTGGCTCTGCCCGCCCGCCATGCTTGTGGGGCTGCTTTGCATTGCTGCTATGAGGAACTGAGTCACAGATTGCTTGGTGGGGTGTGGGTGGGGGGCGGGGGAGAACATTGAGCAACTGAGAGTTAGAAAAAAGAGGCCAGAGACTGAGACAGGCAGAAATGTCCCCAAGGATAAGCAAAGCAGTATAAAGATGAGCAGGACGAAGGGGGGCACTGGCAGAGATGAGGGACCGTGAGGCCGAGGCGCCTGAGACGGAAGGTCCTGACACATGACAGAGCCAGGACAAACACTGGGCCCTGCCTGGCCTGTGGAGAGTCTCAGTACCATGAGACCATGAGGCCACTTGACACTTGCACCAAGTTCACAGACCTTGGGTCCTGAGGCAGGCAACTGAGTAACAAGTTACCCTCAGTCTCACCCCAGCGCTTCAGAGCCAGGATGCTCAGGGACCATGGATGGCTGCTCAGATGACCTTGAACAAACTTGGATATTTGCTCAGATGACCAGGGAAAACCTGGATATTCAGAGAGCTCAAGTCTGTGAGAAGGAAGTACATCGGGCCCAAGAAGTCCTGGGTTGTCCTGAGAGCAAAGCAGGGCTCCACAGCGCTCTGAGAGCACACACCCGCACACACCCGCACACACACGCACACACACGCACACACACGCACACACACACACACACACACCTGCCACAGCCCAGAAGCCTAATCCTAAAGAAATGTCCGTGCTTAGTGAGGACCAGAGATATCTGCCCTGGGTGTCCATGCATGGGGGGTGGGGGGTGAGGGTGGGGGCAGGTACTGTGCCTGGCAGCAATCATTGAGTTTCCAGCTCCCATAAGCATCTGTCAAGACACTGTAGATGCTAAGGAAACCATTGCTTGCCTGAGACCCACTTTAAGACGTCCCACCATTCTCCTCAGCATTTCTGTATTAGGGCTTAACTGAGAAGCCACTCAATCCTGAGACACTTTGGAAATCCAGAAGGGAGAGGCCCAGACTGGCGTCCTGGAGGGATGCCTCAGCTTCCTGACTTCATGAGGGCTTTCCCTTACACTCCTCAGAGAAGTCTCACTGGGATCAAGTCCAGTGGCTCACAGTGGGAACCAGCTCCGAGATCACCCTGCTGGAGGATTCTGTGTCCTGTAGAATGTTCCCCGTCAGAACGCATCTATGGATTCTTCATCGTGCCCTTCATTTCCTCCTCCCTGCCCTGTATTTCCAGTAACTCAAGGTCAGCCTGAGGTCCAGTTCTCTGGCGAGGTTCCATAGTAGTGCTGGTCATGCCTGACCAGTCCCGGAGGTCATTAGTATACTCTACCTGTCTGTTCTGAACCAGCCATTCGAGGAAATTATCTGGCCCTGAGAATTACCGGGAGGTTAGCATCCCTGGAAGACACTTAGAACACAGTGGGAGCCAGAGGCTACATCCCCAGCCGCCTTCTTTCTCTCTGGGAGATTTCTGGAACGTTTTGGAGCTTCCATTGCCTGAGTGTAACCCATTCAACAGTCCATTTTTAACCTTTCCTGTGTGTGCATCCATGTTTGTGCACACGCATGTCTGTGTGTGTGTGTGTGTGTGTGTGTGTACACATGTGAGTGTATGTACAACCAAGGGCCAATCTTGGATGTCTTCCTCATTTGCTCTCCACCTTATTTTTCTAAGACAGAGTCTCTCACCATACCCTAGAGCTCACCCATATAGCTAGACTGACTGCCAGTGAGGTCCTGGGGTCTCCCAGGCTTCACCTCCCCTGTGGTATGGTCACAGACACATCCCATTCCACCAGGCTATACATGGGTGCCTGAGATTCGAACCCAGGTCTTCATGCTTGTGTAGCCATCTCTGCAGCCCTGATCCTTCTTTCTATTGTTAGCGTTCTTCCTCCCCAGTCCCACCACCCTTCTCCTTTATCTGTACCAACATCTCTCAGGTAAACTACTTGGACCCAAATCCTTTCTCTAGGGTCTTTTGCATGAGAAGTACCCCACCAGCTGAGTTTTGTGTGTCCCAGCATCTCAGGGGACACACAAAGTTCTCAAGTGTTGGTGCCATCAGAGGTAATGACCTACTGCCCATTAGAACGTTCGTTATCAACCTCCTGTGATTAATTGTTCCATCCATCAGTGATTATTGCCTGAATCAATTATTTTATTAAGGGGTATAAAAAGAAAATGGTTTCCAAGTCCTATCAACCCTTCTTAGCTGAGATACATATACTTTGCTCATAAGGCAGGACTTTCCGGTTAAGATGAAGTGGTGGCCAGGCTAAGGGCCGGATTCTTTCCTTCCTCGTTGCTGGTTCTCAGGGTGAGGAATTGTGCCCTAGATACTTCCAATGGCACTTAATGACACTGACGGGTCTGTGGCTCTGAGTGCTTGTCTCCTGGCTGGTGGCTCAACTTTGAGAAGCAGTGGAGTCTTTAGAAGATCAGGCCAAGCTGATAGAACTGGTTCTCTAAAGGCCTAAGGAACTGGCTCAGTCCATAAAGTGCTTGTCTTAGAAGCACAAGGACCCAAGTCCAGTCCCTAGAACTCATGGACAGAAGTCTGGGACTGTGGTACACAGTAATCCCAGCTGGGGAGGTAGAGGCAGGTGGACTCTGCTGTCCAGCCAGCCTAGAATAATCTTCAGGGTCCAGGTCAGTGAAAGAACTTGTCTCAAACATCATGCTGTCCACATGTGGAGGTGCACGCCTTTAACCCCAGCCCTCAGGAGGCAGAAGCAGGTGGATCTCGGTGAGTTTGAGGCCAGCCTGAGCTACGTATGGAGAGACAGTTTCAGGACAGTCAGGGCTACACAGAGGAACCTTGCCTCGGGAAACAAACCAACAAACAAATGAAAAAACAAGCTGGATGTGGCTTCACGTGCACATACATCATGTAGACTCCAAACCATGGACCTTCTCACGTATGAACTCACAAGAGGAGGAAGAGAAAGAAAAACAGAGGGAAAAGGAACCAGCAATACAGCCCACATTAGACAGCACTCGCCAGGCAAATCTGACAACCTGAGTTTAATCCCTAGGACCCAGGTTTGCTATTCATTCATTCATTCATTCATTCATTCATTCATTCATTCATTCATTCAAGACAGGGTCTCTCTGTGTAGCCCTGGCTGTCCTGGAACTCATTTTGAAGACCAAGCTGGCCTCGAACTCAGAAATCCATCTGACTGCTGGGACTAAAGGTGTGTCCCACCACTGCCCGACCTCGTTTGCTTTCTGTTGCTGTGATAAACACCATGGTCAAGAGCACGTTGGCAAAGAAATGGTTTGTTTACCTCATGTCTCAATCACAGTTGCTCACTCAGAGAAGTCGGGGCAAGAACCACACAGGAGTAATGGTAACCGGCTTGCCCTCCATGGCTTGCTCAGCTGGCTTTCTTATACAACCCAAGACCACCTACCTGGGTGTGGCTCCACCCACAGTGGGCTGGACCCCTTCACATCAATCATGAATCAGGAAAATGTCCCACAGATTTGTCTACAGGCCCATGTGATGGAGACAACTCCTCAGTTGAGGTTGGCTCCTTTCATATGACTCTGTGTGAAGTTTACAAAGCTAACCTACACACCAAGTGAAGGTGGAAGAGGAGAACTGAGCCCATGGAATTGTCCTCTGACCTTCACACACATACCTGAAGACACATCACACACGTGATGATGAAGATGGTGGTGGTGGTGGTGGTGATGCTGATGGTAATGAACAAATGCTTAGAAAGACGGGATCACTAGGACCAGAACTCTGTAGGTTAGAATCTAACCTTGGCTCTGATCTACTGTGCTCTCTGGTCAGCAACACTGTGACTAGAGATGTGAACACAAGGTTCCTGCCGCCGCCGTGGCTCAGTCAATCTTCCATGCCTTTGCCTCCATGATGCACTGTAGCCTTCTAACACAACGATCCAAAATAAATTCTTCTTCCTTTTTTTTGGTTTGGTTTTTCGAGACAGGGTTTCTCTGTGTAGCCCTGGTTGTCCTGGAACTCACTCTGTAGACCAGGCTAGCCTCGAACTCTCGAACTCAGAAATCCGCCTGCCTCTGCCTCCCAAGTGCTGGGATTAAAGGCGTGCGCCACCACCGCCCAACTAATCCTTCTTTTTATAAATTGTTTCTGACCGGTATTTTGTCATACAACTCAGAACTAGCACACACATGAGCAGACAGGTGTTTATCTGTCCTGTGTATTTCAATAAACTCAGTCACTATTTCATCTTTCTCCATTGGATACCCTTCCCTCCGGCCCTCTCTCCCTCCCCATTGGGTGCCCTTCCCTCCGGCCCTCTCTCCCCCCCCATTGGGCACCCTTCCCTCAGGCCCTCTGTCCCTCCCCTTTGGGCATCCCTTCCCTCAGGCCCTCTGTCCCTCCCCATTGGTCATCCCTTCCCTCAGGCCCTCTGTCCCTCCCCATTGGGCATCCCTTCCCTCAGGCTCTCTGTCAGCCTTGGCCAAGGTCCTCACTTTCTTGCCCAATGAGATATCTCAAGCTTTTATAACCTATTTCCTGGCCCAAGCCTGGACTCAGTCATTCCTCCGAGGAGCCCTGGCTCTTGGTTTTCAGAGAACACACTGACCCGGTCTGTGCTTGGTGACTCTGGAGTTTTACTGCTTCTGAAGGTTGTTGGTGGATGGAATCAGCAGATCTACACCTTCGAACAGAAAAACCAGAAGGATGCCTGCCTGCTGATCCCTCCAAGTCAAACATATCGAGGTTTTATTTAGTCTCTTTGATCTTTTCCCCAGATCTCTTTTCTCTCACACTGACAATCTTAGATTTCAGCATTTGCATAATTACTTATTTATATTACCCTGTGTTTTTTATATAAAAGTTTCAAAAATAGTGACAATAAATCGTTTTTTTTTTCCTAACAGTGAGAATTTCAAATGAAGTTTTAAGACGCCTTTGAAGCTCTGTTTCTCTTCAGAAAACATTTCTTTCAGGACTTATGGTCCACGGGCTCTGAGGTAAAAGCCGCTCGGGCTAGCTAGTTCCACGGAGTGATTACATCACCCGCTCACTGTACATTTAAGGTCTGCCATTTCAGAGTGTCTTCAGATGACAGAGAGCGCTTTTCCCCCTCCTTCCTTTTTGATTTAATGTTATTTTGAATCTATTAAATATTTATATGATTCCAAAGTCAAAACCACATAAAAGTATCTAGAGAGCTCCATCTCCATCATTCTCCGGCTGCCCTGCTCCTTCCCTCGTAAGCAATCATTTTTATTGCTTTCTGCTCGGCTGTTTATCCTGACAGTGCTTTTTCTTGCAAATATAAACCATTTGTGTATGCACTTAAACCCCTCTGCCATGGGTTGGATCTCAAATGTTTCTCAAAGCTTAGTCCCCAGATGATGGTACCAGGTGTGCGGGGCAGTTACTGGGGATGCTGGAACCCTGGTCCTTCCTTCTCTGAGCTTACAGGCTCCCATGAGGCAAGCAACTGTAGGCTCCATATACACCGTCTACTGTGATGTTCTGCCTCATCACAGGGTCTAAACATCAGGACCGAGCGACAATGGACTGAAATCTCTGATTTGTGAGCCAAAGGAACCCTCTCCTTCCTTTAAGCTCTTTGCCTCGGGTGTCACAGAGATGGGAAGCTGGTATTCTCCTTCCCCTTTGCTATATAAGGACAGTGTGCTATGCGCCATGCATCCAGCCCTCTACTTCATGCTTTCCACTTTAGGACAGACACACCCCGGCAGCCACTGCAGGTCACCTTGCATGTTCCTCGCCAATGTATCCCGTTGCGTGAATATACGACAGTTTATTCAGTAATCTCCTAACAATGGACATTTAGATTGTTTACAGTGTTTTGCTGTTTCTAACAATGCAGAACAAACAACCTCATGTGGAAGTCATTTTAGTTTTGTTTTCCCAATGATCTTTCAGTTGAGAACCCGGAGGTAGGGTTACGGGGTCAGTGGGTAAATGCCTAAACAGCACGGTCTCTCTCCTGTAGAAAAGTTTAACTTTTCCTCCATATAAGTTGTACTAGTTTACATCTCCACCAGCGACTGTTTTTAGTCATTCATTCGATAAACACACACCAAGTACCTACCAAGTGCCAGACACTCATTTAGTTCTGGAAGGCACAATAGTAGGAAAGATAGCTGTGATGCTTTCATTCAAGAACTCACAGTGTGAGAAGGAGATTGGAGTGGATAGATACTCACACAAACAGTCACATATTCATTAAGAAGTGTCAATTCTGCAAGATTTCACAGTGAAGAGCTGGGCACAATGGCTACATGCCCGTTGTACCAGCACTTGGGATGTAGAGGCAGGTAAACCAGATGTCCAAGATTAAGGTCCATCTCCTGGTTAGTTTTAGCTGTCAACCTGTCACAGCCTAGAGTCATCTGAGAATTGAGTCCCAATCCAGGAGTTACCCAGTCCAGACTGTCCAGTGGGCACGCCTGAGTGAGATTGTCTTCATTGTTAGCTAAGGTAGGAGGGCCCAGCCTACTGCAGCAGCAAAGGAGACACCACTATCAAGAAGGCGGTTTTCCAAGGTGAGGCTGATCTATTGCACTCAAGATCTGCTGATCCCTTGAATTTCTTCAACTGTAGGAAATTTGAATGCATACTTTGTGGTAGCGGAGAACTGTCTTCAGAATTTTTTTTTAAAAGAAACATAATTTTTAAAAAGAAAACAAATCAGAAATTTAAATAATCACATTAATTCAAATGGAAATGCTTTATAGTCTAAAACCTATAGAATCTATACAGTGATGACTCTTCAGAAGTTAATTTACATCTTCAAAGTATTTCACTGTAAAAAACGCTGAAAATAAATGAACTAAATTTGTAACTTAAGAACTTAGAAAAAAATGTGGTGTCTTAGTATTTCCATTGCTGTGAAGAGATGCCATGACCAGGGCAATTTTTTTTTTTTTTTTTTTTTTTGGTTTTTTCGAGACAGGGTTTCTCTGTGTAGTCCTGGCTGTCCTGGAACTCACTCTGTAGACCAGGCTAGCCTCGAACTCTCGAACTCAGAAATCCGCCTGCCTCTGCCTCCCAAGTGCTGGGATTAAAGTCGTGCGCCACCACCGCCCGGCACCAGGGCAACTTTTATAAAGGAAAACATTTAATTGTTCTGGCTTACAGGTTCAGAGGTTTAGTCCATTGTTATGGTGGGAAGCATGGTGGCTTGCAGGCAGACATGGTAATAGAGGAGTCAAGAGTTCTACATCTTGATCCAAAGGCAACCAGGAGGAGACCGGATTCCACGCTGGGCGTAGCTTCAGCATAGGAGATCTCAAAGCCTGTTCCACAGTGACACACTTCCACCAACAAGACCACACTTCCTGACAGTGCCACTCCCTATAGGCTAAACATTCAAACACATGAATCTATGAAGCTATTTCTATTCTAACCACCACAGATAGACATGGTAGTGCCTTTAATCCCAGTGGAGATAGTCAGGTCTGTCTGAATTTGAAGCCAGCCAGGTCTAGAGTTCCAGGTCAGTGAGAACAACATAGTGAGACCCTGCCCTCCACCCACCCTCCCCCCCAAAAAAAACAACCAAAATCAAAATAAAAACAAAAAGAAACTTAAAAAAAAAAGTCTGGAAAGATAGCTCAGAGGTTGAGAACCCTTGGCTGCTCTTGCACAGGACACAGACTGGCTCCCAACACCTACACATCAGACAGCTTACAACTTCCTAGCTTCTAAGGTTCTGATACCCTCCTCTGTCCTCCACTGGCACCCACACAAATCCACACAGAGATACACACATGTACACATAAAATTAAATAACAAAAATAGCAAAGTGGTGGTGGTACACACCTTTAATCCTAGCACTTGGGAGGCAGAGACAGGCAGATCTCTGAGTTCAGGGTCAGCCTAGTCTACAGAGTGAGTTCCAGGACAGCCAGGGTTATAGAGAGAAACCCTGTCTCAAAAAACTAATAATAATATTTTTTAAAAAACTCAAAAAAGACTAAGATAAAAAAGAGTATAAGACAATGAATCAGGATATATAAGAAACGTGTGAAAGAAAAACATTTAGGAGGAAATTTAAATTCCAGGTTTTTTATCATACTTTCTAATGTAAGTAATTCTAAGTAAGCTTAAATAAGCAAAAGAGAGGGAAAGACAGAGAGGATGAACATAGGCAGAGATACAGCTTGTCTTAGTCAGAGTTTCTGTAGCTGCAACAAAACAGTATGGTTAAAAGACAGTTGGGGAGGAAAGGGTTTACTTAGCTTACACTTCCATATTGCTGTTCATCATCAAAGGAAGTCAGGACTGGAACTCCAGGGGGGCAGGTACCTGGATGCAGGAGCTGATGCAGAGGCCATGGCGGAGTACTGCTGACTGGCTTGCTTCACCTAGCTTACTCATCCTGCTTTCTTACAGAACCCAGGACCATCAGCCCAGGGATGGCCCTGCCCACAATGGGCACATTGATCACTAATTGAGAAAGTGCCTTACAGCTGGATCTCACAGAGGCATTTCTTCAATGGAGACTCCTTCCTCTGATGACTCTAGCTTGTGTCAAGAGGACACAAAACTAGCCAGTGTATAGCTGTGTTACAGAAATCACTAGAAGGATGAAAGGATGAAGAGATAGCCACATGACAGTCATGTGCAAGCCCACAGGAAGCCTATTCTCCAAAACACACGTGATGAAAACTGACTCAAGAAAAAACAGAGGCCCTAAAGAGGCCAGCCAGAGGAAGGCTGGAGAGCGTAGGAAACCGTCAATGCAAGGATGCCCTACCTCCCTCTTCCTCTTCCCCACTTACAAGCTCCACCCTTCCTCTCTCTAGCCCTCAGTCTTTATTTGCTCCATGCTCTCAGCTTACACAAAGTTTCTGCTGTAGTTTGCATGTATATGTTTCCCCAAATTCAGTATGGTTGGAACCAAAGTCCTGAGTGGCAGCATTAGGAAGCAAAGCCTTGTGGAGATGGTTCAGTCACTCTCTATAGGATCAGTATGTTTATGAAAAGGTCAGGAGATAGCCTCTAGGACCCTCTTCTCTCTGTCTGTCTGCCATATGAGGACCCAGCATTCAGTCCAAAATAAATAAATCTTTAATTTTGCAACAGGGCCCCAGACCTTAGTACAACTAAATCCATGATAGAAATGACATTTGGGCCATAAAACTCTGCACATAGACAGCACCACCTGCTAAAAACAAAAACAAAGACCTGATCTATTAAAGTTCACAGTTCTGGGAAAGTCTCTAAATGGACTAACCTTGCTTTTTTGCTTCTGTAGTCCCACTTCTGGCTAACTGTTCTTGTTAATTGAAGTAGGTCAACCCAGGACATGGTTTGTGAGCAAGACCTGTCTGGAAGTTTTAGGTCAGGGAGGAGGTGAAAGAGGCCAGGATGCTAGCAGGGACTGTGGGAGCTGGAGGCCACCATGGGCTCTGATAGGCAACCACAGGTCAATGGAGAGACATACGTCTCTTCTCCCAGAGGCAAGGGAAATGACTACCTGTCAGGGATGAGAACCTGTTTGGCAAGTTCCTGAGGAATGCTGGCTTTTATCTAGAAATCCTGCTGTAGTCCAGTTTGAGCTTATTTCTGGATATATGGACTGCCTGAGAGATAATGGGGTGAGGGGTGGGGAGGGGGGAGGGGGCAGATGGCAGATGGCAGGTGTAAGGAGAAGCATTGCTGATCTGAATTTTTCTGCCAACGTAGTTTTGCTTTGTTTGGTTTTTTGAGACAGAGTCTCTCTACATAGTCCTGAGTGGCCTAGATCTCACTGTGTACAACAGGTTGGCCTCAAACTCACAGAGATCTGCCTGCCTCTGCTGCCCATCACTGTGCCCTGACCCAAAGGTAGATTATATTTTTAAAGATGTATTTATTTATTTTATGTATGCAAGTACACTGTAGCTGTCTTCAGATGCACCAGAAGAGGGCATCGGGTCCTGTTACAGATGGTTGTGAGCCACCATGTGGTTGCTGGGAATTGAACTCAGGAAGAGCAGTCAGTGCTCTTAACTGCTGAGCTTTCTCTCCAGCCCTCCAAAGGTAGATTCTTGAAAACACTAATTCAGTTTTTGGTGGGCTGCAGGAACAACAAACAGCAACTGTAAGAGGAAGACTGCTAGCCTGGGAAGAATCCTTCCCAGGAGCTTGCTGGTTATTGGTGGCAGGAAGGAGATACTCAAGAACATGTCAAACAGTCACTTAAAAGCCTGGCAACTTTCAGGGCTGCTGAAGTTTGTCGGCAAGAATCCTTGGGCTGGGGCTAGGGGGATGGCTCGGTGGTTAAGAGCACTTGCTAGTCTTGCAAAGGAGCCTGGTTTGATGCCTAGAACCCAAGCAGTGGCTCACAACCATCTGTAACTCCAGTGCCAGGAGATCTGACACTCTCTTTTATTCTCTGTAGCAGCAGGAATGTACACAGCATGCGTACATGCATAGAGACAAAACACTCATACACATAAAAAATAATAACTAAAAAAAATCAGAATTCCACAGATGAAACAACATGCTATATAGTACCGAAAAGTACCTAGCTGCAATCTGGTTCACAGAGAATGCTATTGTTACAGAAAGGTCTGAGACTGTCCAAACCATTGTATTAATAATTTTATAATAATAAGTCTTAGCCAAGCATGGTGGTGCACACCTTTATTCCCAGCACTCCAGAGGCAGAGGCAGGCAGATCTCTACAAGTTCAAGGCCAGCCAAAACTACCTAGTGATTCTGTGTTTCATTACAAAAGGACTTGGGATGAAGTACTGGCCCCTGACTCCCATAAGTTATCCTCTGGACTCCGTGAATGCCTTCAAGCACACACACACGGTGAGTAAAGAAATATAAACTGCAAATTTCCAAAAGAAAAAACTTCTTAAAGAAATCTCATATATTATATATCATATATATTATATTATACTATATTATATTATATTATATTATATTATATTATATTATATTATATATTTACTATGGTTGAAAGTATTTGGCCCATTGGAATGACAGCCTCATAGTCTAGCTATGTTTATGATGGAGCAATTGATTAAGTATTATGATTTCAGGTTGAAATCCCACTAAAGTAACAGGGTATTAGAACATATGAATTTTGGTCTCAATATATTTATTAGTTGAATTTTCTAGACTGATTAAAACTCCTTTTTTTAGGTTTGGTTTTTTTTAGAAAATGTTTCTCTGTGTAGTCTTGGCTATTCTGGCACTAGCTTGTAGATTAGCTGGCCTTGAACTCATAGAGATCCGCCTGCCTCTGCCTCCCAAGTGCTGGGATTGAAGGTATGTGCCAATGCTACTCAGCTAAATACTTTTTGTCTTGTTTTGTTTTGTTTTGTTTTGTTTTTCGAGACAGGGTTTCTCTGTGTAGTCCTGGCTGTCCTGGAACTCACTCTGTAAACCAGGCTGGCCTCGAACTCTCGAACTCAGAAATCCACCTGCCTCTGCCTCCCAAGTGCTGGGATTAAAGGCGTGTGCCACCACTGCCCTGCTACTTGGTGTATCCTTAAAAATGATTGTTAACATTTGTTAAAGTTATAAATCGGATAATAAGATTTGTAAGCTGAATGCAAAGGCCCGAGGAAGAAACAAGGTTTTTGAATTTATAATTTAAATAAACTGACTCCATTTTTAAAACCCAAAATAAATCTTATTAATGGCCTTCTCTAT